CTCACTTGGGGAGTGAATCATCGGATGGAAGATCTTCCTCTCTGTCTCTCCTCTCTGTACATCCGCCTTTCCAATAAAAAAAATAATAAAAATAAATCTTTAAAAAAATTAAATGAAAAAAAAGCACAAAATGGCGGGGCTGGCATGGTGGTAGAGTGAGTTAATTCGCTGCCTGCAACATTGGCATCCCATATGGTGCCAGTTCAACTTGACGATTGCTCTACTTCCAATTCAGCTTGCTGCTAATGTGCCTGGGGAAACCTCGGCAGGAGGCATGAGTGCTTGGATCCCTGCCACCTTCATGGGAGACTCCGAGGCAATGTCCAGCTCCCAGCTTTGGCCTGGACCAGTCTCGGCTGTTGCAGTCATTTGGGGAGTGAACCAGTGGGTGGAAAACCTCTGTATTAGCCTCTCCTTCACTCTCTATGTGACACTGCCTTTCAAACAAACAAACAAACAAATAAATCTTAAAAACAAAGGCTCGGTGTGGTAGCCTAATAGCTAAGGTCCTCACCTTGAACCCGCTGGTTTCCCATATGGGTGCCACTTCTAATCCCAGCAGCCATGTTTGCATCCAGCTCCCTGCTTAAGGCCTGGAAAGGCAGTCAAGGACAGCCCAAAGCCTTGGGACCCTGCACCTGCGTGGGAGATCTGGAAGAAGTTCCTGGCTTCTGGCTTCAGACTGGCGCAGCACCGGCCATTGCGGTCACTTGGGGAGTGAATCATTGGACGGAAGATCTTCCTCTCTGTCTCTCCTGCTCTGTGTATACCTGACTTTGCAATAAAAATTAATAAATCTCAAAACAGAACCCCAACACACACGTGGAGAAAATTACACACAAAAAAATTAGAGAATAATCCCCCAGATCAGAGTGGGAGAGGGGGGAGGGGCGTGAAGGGAGCCGGGGGTTGGGCTGGAGTGAGAGTCAGGGGGCTTCTCTAAGCTCTGCTTGTTCACAACAACTCTGGGGTCTTCTAAGATTATTTATTTTTATTGGAAAGGCAGATCTACAGAGAGGAGAGACAGATCTTCTGTCTACTGGTTCACTCCCCACATGGTCACCAACAACCAAAGCTGAGCTGATGGGAAGCCAGGAGCTTCTTCCACGTCTCCCTCATGGGTGCAGGAGCCCAAGTGCTGGGTCATCCTCCAGCACTTTTCCAGGCTCATTAGCAGGGAGTTAGATGGGAAATGGAGCGACTGGGACTCGAACTGGCACCCATATGGGATGTCAACCCTGCTGGCAGAGGCTTAACACACTATGCCACAGTGCCAGTACCCGGAATTTCTGTGCTCACCGCATCTTTGTGCACTCCCTGTAACTAGGACAGCTTTTGAAATTGCCGCTTCTTGGAGACCCTGTTCCTTCCTCCTGCAGGTGCAGGGTCCTGGCAGAAGGTTGCTGAATGCTTTGTACTCGTTTTCCAAGATGACCTCATGACGTCCCTTTGGAATAACTGGCAAGGACCTGGGGCTGTTGTGAAATCCGACTTGGGAGCCTCTGCCTTGGTGATCAGCAAGCCGCCTCCCAGCCAGGACAGGAGGCCAAGTGGGGCCTAAGCGTGAATGGGCGGCAGGCCCCCAACCCCAATCCCACCCGGCCTGCTCGCCTCCACCCACCCACTGGCATCTCTAAGAGATCCAAGGGCTTGCTGGGGCACAGCAGGCATTTGGCTGGGAGCTGCCTGGCCGACCCTGCTCAGGGGTGAGCTGCCCAGGCCCCTGGGAGAGACTAGTTCTTGTTCCTTGGGAGGTGAGGGAGTACTTAGGGAGCGGGGATAATTTTAGATTCTCACATCCCCTCCAACCTTTCCAACTCCCAACCCCTAGCTTGGCCTGCGGGGGGGGGGGGGGGGGGGGGGGGGACTGCTTAGTCCTGCGGCTCACCAGTGGCCTTTGGAAAGCCCGGAGCTGGGGGAGCTGGGGCCGGCCCCTGTAGGAGTTTCCCAGGATCCTTCCCCAGCTGCCCCCACACCCATTGTGTTAGAGCAGGAAGCAGACAGCTCCAGGATCAGGTCTGAATGCTGGCTGCTCCCCTTCCTGGCCCAGGGCTCCAGCCTCACCACCCCACACCCCATTATTGCCTGCAATTGCGGAGGAAGGGATTTAGAGTGGGGAAGAGCTTTAGGGATAGGGGAAGGTGTTGGGGGAGAGAACTGACAGGCCTGGGTGGCACTTCTTGGCGTCCCCTGTCATGCCACACAGGCCAAGAAGCCACTCCTCAATTCAGTGCCTTCCTGTTGGCTTGCTTTGAATGTATCTTTATTTAAAAGGGAAATATACAGAGAGTAAACACAGAAAGTCTTGCATCCACTGGTTCACTCTCAAATGGCTACAGTGGCCGAGTGGAGTCCATCCAAAGCCAGGAGCTGGGAGGTTCTTCCACGTCTCCCACTTGAATGCAGGGCCCCAAGGACTTGGCCACACCCTCTGCTGCTTTGCACAGGCCACAAGCAGGGAGCTGGATTGGACATGCAGCAGCCAGGACATGAACTGTAACCCACGGGATGCTGGTGCTTGCAGGTGTAGGATTAGCCTGTTAATTCTCTGTGCTGGACTTTTTTTGTTTGTTTCTATATTATTTATGCCTTTCTCTAGAAAGAAGAGTGAGACGGAACACAGCCTTCCACCTACTGGTTCATTCCCTAAATGCCTGCATAAGCCAGGGCTGGGCTAGGCCAAACTAGGAGCCAGAGCTTCATTGACAGCTTCCATTGGAACCCCAATATTTGAACCACCTTCCACTGCAGAAGCAGGGAGTTGGAATCAGAAGTGGAATAGTCGTGGAAGCAGCAAAATGGTTCAACTGACTAATCCTTCACTTTCAAACACTTGCATCCCATATGGCCTCCAGTTCATGTCCCAGCAGCCCCGCTTCCCATCCAGCTCCCTGCTTGTGGCCCCGGGAAAGCAGTCGAGGACGGCCCAGAGCCTTGGGACCCTGCACCCGCGTGGGAGACCTGGAAGAAGCTCCTGGCTCCTGGCTTTGGATCGGCTCAGCTTTGGGCTCCCTTGGGGAGTGAACCAGAAGATGGAAGATCTTTCTGTCTCCGTAAATTTATCATTCCAACAAAAATAAATAAATCCCTTTAAAAAGAGCATGGGGCAGTTGAGATTTGCACAGTGCTCCAACATGGGATGCTGGGATGCCACGTGCTGCAGGTGTCAGTTTAACCTGCTCTGCCACGGTACTGCTGCACTGCCTTCTAGCTTTGTAAAGTACATGGATACACTCTTCCAGCAAGCAGAGTACACTTATTTTACAAGTGCAGGGATGATGAGGGACGAATTGTGAGTAGAAGGGCAGAAGTGTGTAAGTGAGAGAGAATGAATAAAGGTCTTCTGTTTGCTCGTTCACTTTCCAAATGGCTGCAATGGGGCCCAGCAGCGTGGCCTAGTGGCTAAAGTCCTTGCCTTGAACGCGCCAGGATCCCATATGGGCACCGGTTCTAGTCCCGGCAGTTCCACTTCCCATCCGGTTCCCTGTTTGTGGCCTGGGAAAGTGGTCCAGGACGGCCCAAAGGACCCTGCACCTGCATGGGAGACCTGGAAGAAGCTCCTGTTCCTGGCTTTGGATCGTCATAGCATCAGCCCTTTTCAATAAATAAATAAATCTTTGAAAAACAAACAAACAAACAAAACCAAATGGCTGCAATGACCAGAGCTGAATCGGTCCGAAGTCAGGGGCTTCTTTTGAGTCTTCCTCAGGGGTGCTGGGGTCCAAGAACTTGAGCCATCCTCTGTTGCTTTTCCAGGAAGTTTATCAAGAAGTCAGATTGGAAGTGGAACATCTGACATGAACAGCTGGGCATATGGAATGCTGGTGCTGAAGACAGAAGTTTAGCCTAGTATATCATGGTGTTGGCCTCCTTTTCAAAATTTAATTTATTTGAAAGGCAGAGTAAGAGAGAGCAAAAAAGAGCGAGAGCCAGAGAGAGAGCGAGAGAGAGAAATCTCCCGCCTGCTGATTTACTCCCTGAATGATGCACCAAGTGGGGCTGGGCCAGTGGGGCTGCAGCCTGGAGCCTCCCATGTGGACGGCAGGGGCCTAGTGACTCACCTACTGTTTCCTAGGCTGCACGTCAACAGGAAGCTAGACTCAGCAGCGGAGCCAGGACTCTTGTAAGGGGATGCACCTGTTCCAAACCATTGCTTCTTCTTTTATAAGAGATTTATTTATTTTTATTGGAAAGACAGATTTACAGAGAGAAGGAGAGACAAAGATCTTCCACCTGCTGGTTCACTCCCCAAGTGGCCGCAATGGCCAGAGCTGAGCCGATAAGAAGCTAGGAAGCCAGGAGTTACTTCTGGGTCTCCCACATGGATGGATTCGAAGCAAATTGGAGGAGTAAGGCTCACAGAAAAATGGAATTTAAAGTTAATTCTGGTGCAACACAATTTGCACATCCACACCCGGCTTTCTCCCTGTAGTGTGCATTTTCCAGGAGCTTTTTGGGGACGCCAGGGAGAAGGGAAAGGGGATAGATTTTCCTGGAATGAAGGCCAGAAGACAGCGACTGCCCTCTGTGACTTCCCTGAAAACACCCAGAGGGAGAGCGCCCAGTAGACGAGGGGGTTACTGGTCCTTCAGAGCCAGACTTGCCTGAGAGGTCAATCTCTTTCTTCCCATTGTGCCGATGTTTCTGCAGGTGCACCGATGTTTCTGCAGGTGCACCATGGAGGGTCGGTGGGGCATCCCTCCCCACTTCCAGAGAGACTCACGGCCGCTGCCCCTTTAAGCGTCGCCGCTCCTCCCCCCAGCCGTGGCACCCAGGGAGTGGGGTGTGGTTGTGGGGGTGGTGGGAGCGATAGGTGGGCCCGGGAAGGCTGTGCATTCTTGTCCCCTCCCCAACTTCATCAACCCGAAACATGGCCGAGGCTGGGGGAGTCGCTCCCGCGCCCTGGCGCCCCCTCCCCTGAGCCCAGCACCCAGCTAACCCTCCTCCTGTTTCCCCTCCCGCCAGGACGTGCGACGAGCGACGGACACACGCACTCACCGATGGCTCCGTGGCCTCCCGGCAACACCTCCGCGGTCCCTGCGTGGCCCGACAGCCCCACACTGGCACCCACTAGCGCCAACACGAGCGGGGGGCTGCCAGGGGTGCCGTGGGCGGCGGCGGCGTTGGCCGGGGCGCTGTTAGCAGTGGCCACGGTGGCGGGGAACCTGCTGGTCATCGTGGCCATCGCTCGGACGCCCAGACTGCAGACCATGACCAACGTGTTCGTGACATCCCTGGCCGCAGCTGATCTGGTCGTGGGCCTAGTGGTCGTGCCGCCGGGGGCCACCCTGGCGCTGACCGGCCACTGGCCCCTGGGCGCCACCGGTTGCGAGCTGTGGACCTCGGTGGACGTGCTGTGCGTGACGGCCAGCATCGAAACCCTGTGCGCTCTGGCTGTGGACCGCTACCTGGCCGTCACCAACCCTCTGCGTTACGGTGCGCTGGTCACCAAGCGCCGCGCCCGGGCGGCCGTAGTCGTGGTGTGGGTGGTGTCGGCCGCGGTGTCGTTCGTGCCCATCATGAGCCAGTGGTGGCGCGTAGGGGCGGACGCCGAGGCGCAGCGCTGCCACTCTAACCCGCTTTGCTGCGCCTTCGCCTCCAATCTGCCCTACGCGCTGCTCTCCTCTTTCGTGTCCTTCTACGTGCCGCTGCTGGTGATGCTCTTCGTCTACGCGCGGGTCTTCCTCGTGGCCACTCGCCAGCTGCGCCTGCTGCGCGGCGAGCTGGGTCGCTTCCCGCCGGAGGAGTCCCCGCCGCCGCCTCAGTTGCGCTCTCGGTCTTTGGCCGCCGGGACGGAAGGGACGTCCCCGGCGCCCGCAGCGGTACCCCCCTCCTGCGTTCGGAGGCCCGCGCGTCTCCTGCCTCCGCGGGAACACCGGGCCCTGCGCACGCTGGGGCTCATCATGGGCACCTTCACCCTGTGCTGGCTGCCCTTCTTTCTGGCCAACGTGCTGCGCGCCCTCGGAGGCCCTGCGCTCGTCCCCAGTCCGGCCCTTCTCGCCCTCAACTGGCTGGGCTACGCCAACTCTGCCTTCAACCCGCTCATCTACTGTCGCAGCCCAGACTTCCGCTGCGCCTTCCGCCGTCTGCTGTGTGGCTGCCCGCGCCGGGAGCCCCGCGCCGCCGTCGCCTCCAGGGCGCCGGAGCCCTCGTGCGCCCCGGCTGCTCATACCAGCCCAGCCGAGTCCAGGCCGTGTTCGCCGCTCCACAGGTGGGTCACCATGGCGGAGGGCCCCGCAGCTGGGAGGCAGAAGTTTTGGTCAACTGTTGAGTGTTTGGGGGTTCAGCAGGAGAAGCGGGGGAGCTAGGAGAGTCTCTCCATGGGGGAGAAGAGGAGGCACCGGGAGTCCCTTTGTGCCGCGAGTTCAACGCCTGGGGCCGAAGCTGCTGGAGGGCGAGTTGGTTGGTCTTCACCATCCCAGACCCCAAGGCGCTCCCTCTCTCTCTTAAGCCACCCTCCTCTCCAGTTAGTGGAACCCTTTCAGGTGCCCCTGGCGCCGATTGGATGCCTCAGTTTGGGTTTCTCTCCAAGGTTTGATGGCTACGAAGCTGACTACTCAGGTCGGCTGTGAAGGCTAGTCCAGCCATCGGGAAGGAGGAAGCGTGAGTAGCGGTCTGCGCTCCCTACCGCACTCCATTCCAAGGCCCTGCCCATCAGCTCCTTCACGCGCCCACCTGCCCCGCTACCGCGTGGGAGTTGGATGGGGGAGGACCGGAGTGGGAGCTTTGGCGGCGGCTGCTCATGCTTTTGAGTCCACGTGCCCTTAAACACAGTGTGCGCGTACCCTGCCTCTGTTCTAGGGCTTCCTGCGAATGGGGAGAAGTCCTGAGGCGCCACGCACAGCCAACAGCGCTGTGGCTGCAGATCCCGCGGACGAGCCTGGGTCTTCCGGCAGGCAGGAGCCAGGAGGCTCCCATCCTCGCGCCTGCTCCTCCGCGCCCCGCCCCGCCCCCACCTCACTCCTACCTCGGGTAGTTTGGGGCTCGGCTGCTGGGACTAGCAGAAGCACCTGCTAGAAAAAGTCCAGGCTGGGTGGGTTTGGTTTGTGTCGCGGGCTGTGGCAGGCGGCCTTCAGAGCCACAGAGAAGCTCCAATCTACCTCACAACAGTGCCAGAAGGGGCTCCTCAGGGTTGTTTTTTTTTCTTTTTTTATTGGGGGGGGAGGAATTTGGGGTTTACAGATCCCATCTTTTTAAATTATTTTTCAAATCGAACGAATAAATATTCCAGAATGCTGCTGGGCTCTCTCTGCCTTTGTTTTTCTTTCCTAAGCTACTTACTCTCTTCCCTTGCTGTTTACGGTGGCCTTTGGACAGGGGCAGTAAATTCAGACTAATCCCGCCTCTGCTGTCTTCTTAATCCTTATAAAAAAAAAAAAAAAAAAGGTCTGGGTGTTGGGGAGGGAACTTGAAGCCTGCCCCCTGTTTGCTTGGAACCTAGTGCTAATGGGTTGCCCAGCTGTGCCACACACAGCCCCGTCCCGCCTGCTGCCGGTCCCTGCAGGTCCCTAGGGTGGCCCTGCCTTCTATGAGCATGCGTCTGCCTGGCTGACACTGCTCAGAGGTATGGGGTTAGCAACATGCTCCACCGTCTGCCAGCCTTCCTTGTCTATTCCTCCCTGGGCTGCAGAATTTCTGGTATCCGCTGGAAGTCTAAGCTAGACTTCCAGGCTACAGCCGGTGGATTCTATTCATTTCAATGTTTTTATAACCCTTATCGGCAGGTGTGCTGGAGAGAGAAAAAGTGTAGGGAAAAAAAAATCACTGCCTGGTTTTCTTGATGCTGCAGCCTGCGGGTTGATTGACGGTACCGGATGAATCAGGAACTGGTCAGCGTGTGTGTGTGTGTGTGTGTGTGTGTGTGTGTGTGTGTGTGTGTGTGTGTACCATGCTCTGGTTGCAGCAAGGGCCCCTCAGTTAGCATTCTACCGTCTCCCGCTCTGAGAAGCTCCGTGGATTGCCACATATGGGTGCTCCCCAAGAACTAAGCCTGATCGGCTCTGGTGCCCTCGTTTGATTCTCCTGTTTGCATACCGGACATGACTTTCTCCTCCTCCACCCGGAGCTGTGTGTGAGCTGTCTGGTATCCAAGGCATCGGAGGGGTTCTTGGCGGGGACTCAGCTTCGGAGCTGGAACCGGCACGATGTCAAGTAATACTCCATCTGTAGGTGCCGGCAACTCCTATGGGCGCCAGTTCTAGTTCTAGCTGCTCCATTTTCCATCCAGCTCCCTGCCTGTGGCCTGGGAAAACAGTAGAGGACAGCCCAAGGCCTTAGGACCCTGCACTTGCATGGGAGACTTGGAAGACGCTCCTGGCTTCAGATCGGCTCATTTCTGGCAGCTGGAGCCACTTGGCCGAGTGAATGAGCAAATGGAAGACTTTTCTCTCTCTCTCCTTCTCTCTGTAAATCCGCCTTTCCAACAAGAAACTTCAGAGCTGCGGCTGTTGGGGGAGAAAGACGTCTTCTTGAGTTGGGGAGCAGGGGGGCATCCTGGCCCGTTTTCCAGATTCTGTTCCCAGGTCAGGGAGAAGGGCGGTTTGGGAAGGAGGGCCTTCTGGTTTATAGGTGGGTCTTGAATTTTTGTCCAAGGGTGGGTGCTGTGCAAGAGTCACTGGACATACACTCCCACATGCACCCCCTGCCAAGTGTCGACTCCTCTGTGGGTGTTTAGACTTGTCCCGGGGCCCATGGATTCCGTCTGCAGATTGTCACCGGTGCAGCTGACAGCTGGGGGTGGGGGTGGGGGGCAGCCCCATCCAGCAGCCTGCGGCCAGGTGTCAAGCTGTGGACGATTTATGCGTCCTGGAGTGTGGAGCAGCCGGCGATGGCTGGTTTAACTAGGACTGTGAAGGGCCCGAGCTCTTGAGCTGTGGAAGACACACACCAGGCTCTGAGCTGGAGAGGGGAAGGCTTACAGGCTCAGCGGATCCAAAGAGCTTGGAGAGACCCCTCATCCCTTATCTCTCCCACACACCCTGAAGAAACAGCACAGCTTGGGGTGTGGGGGAAAGACAGGGAAGTGGGGGCGCAGCTGGGGCAAAGGGAGTGGGGAGTGAGTGTGTCTCTAGGGAGGTGGCCTGCACTGTGCATGGGACAGAGGCAGGGTTGGGGGAGGGATGGACGGACATTGTGACAGCTGGCATTCCTTCAGAGCTGTGACAAATTCACTTTGGTGTCCGGGTCCGAAGGAGAAGTGGAGCCAGGCACCCCCTGATGGCACTATGAGGACACAGCAGCTGTAGATTGCCCAGTGCCATTCTCATGGCACCTGCTGTATGCCAAGCTTCCCAAGCTACACTAGTGAATGCAAGCAACAGCTAAAAGTACAGCCTCCAGCCACTCAACGAACTTGCTTGTGTCAACTCCAAGGTGTATTTTCCTTGCTTGGCACACGCTGCGGGCACCCAACCAAGTCACACAGCCCCTCTTCCAGGCCTGCCTCTGAATGCAATGAAAATCTGTGAATTGAGAGAGATATCTACTTAGTTTATGCCAGCCAGCCTTGAAGGCTGTGTACTTAAAAAAAAAAAACAAAAAAACCACCTAGGCTTGCTGTTTATTTATTTGAAAGGTAGTGTTATAAGAAGAGGGGGAAAAAAGTGAAAAAAAAAAAAAAAGCCACAGAGACATGAGAGATTTTCCATCCACCAGTTCACTCCCCAAATGGCCACAACTGCCAGGGCTGGGCCAGGCCGAGGCCAGGAGCCTGGGGTGCGGAGGCCCAAGCACTTGGACCAGCTCGTGCTGCTTTCACAGGTGTGTTAGCTGGAAGGTGGATGGGGAGTGGAGCAGCCGGGATGCTGGCATCTTCCACAACACCAGCCCCCAGAGCAGGGTTTCCTTAGCTCATGTCCAAGGTGGGGTGACCATGTGTATGCTGGGCCGCGTCCTGCCACGGCGGGAGAACATGTGAGAGGGAGGGGTCACCTAGCGGGGTGGGAGGGTAGAGAGGGATGGGGCAGCTGTGTCATCCCAACTCCAGAGACCGACCTAACCCTGGTACCTAAGGGCCACATTGCCAGGGACCTAATTACCCCCCACCAGTCTCACCTCTTAGGGGTCCCACCCACTCCACACCATTACACTAGAGACCAGGACCCCTTCAGGACCCCTTCAGGGTAGACCATGCCTGACCCAAGCAAAGACTGGGGGAGGCTGTGGGAGAAGACGCCGCCCCCTCCAGCACAAAGCAGTGAAATTCAAGTTAGGAGTATGGGTGAACTGCAAATCTCCTGCCTTTTTCTTTCCCTTTCCTGAAAACAGGTTTAAAAATGTTTTTAAGGTTAATTTTGTATTTTATGAGTGAGACATTGCCTATTCATTTGGTTCATTTCCCAAGTGCCTGTCATAGCCAGGACTGGGTCGAGCCAAAGCCAGGAGCCTGGCACTCCATCTGGGTCTCCCGGTGCGCACTGGCAGAGAACTTGCTTGAGCCACCACCCGCTGCCTCCCAGGGTGTGCACTGGCAGGAAGCTGGAAGCAGAGCTGAGATTCACACCCCCTCGGATATGAGGCGGGCACCCCAGGCAGTGGCTTAGCTGCCGTGCCACACGCTTGCTGCCTTGGAGCCCTGTGCACTCCTGCTTGGACGTGGCACCTTCTTGTCTTGGTACCGGGGGCGTGCCCTGCCTTGTTTTTCTTTGGCTGGTACCTCCTTATCTCAGACTGGTTCCTTCGATGGTATGTGCGTGTTGCTTGGGCCCCTGCGATCCAGCTAAGAAACTGGTAAGAAGCTCCTGGCTCCTGGCTGCAGCCTGGCCCAACCCAGGCTGCTTTGGCCCTCTGAGGCGTGAAGTGCTCTGCACTTGACTTCTAGCTGTTTCCCACTGAGACCCACTCCTGGCCTAGGTCCCATCCTCTGGGCCAGTTGTGGATGACCCCGGGACGCAGCATTTACAGGAGATAAATGTTAAAGCAGAGCAGAAGACTCCAAACAGGGGCAGTTTGGGGCCAGAGTTGTGGCCTAGTGGGTAAAGCGGCTGTGTGTGGTGCCAGCGCTCCATATGGGCACGGCTTCAAGTCCCAGCTGTTCCACTCCTGATCCAGTTCCCTGCTGATGTGTCTGGGAAAGCAGCAGAAACTGGCCCAAGCGCTTGAGTCCCTGCACCCACATGGAGACCCAGAAGACGCTTCCGCTTCCTGGCTCCTGGCTTCGGAGCAGGCCAGCTGTGGTCCGTGTGACCATTTGGGGGAGTGAACCAGCAGATGAAAGATCCTCTTTCTGTTGCCCTGCAACTCCGCTTTTCAAATACTGGTACGAAAGGAACAGAGGGCATCCCCACGGGGCAGGCGTTCGTGCAAACGGAGTCCCGGAGTCAGGAAAGATGGAGGACGCTTGCACACGTTGTCGGAAAGCTCCACAAACTGGAGAAGTTTAAGCAGTAGGAACGGATTCTCCCCCAGCACTGGAGTCTGTGTTCAGGGTCAAGTTCAGAATCTAGGCATTAGCAAGGGTTGCTCCCTCGAGAATGCTCTGGCTTCTGGCGGTTGCCAAAATTCCTGGTGCTGGTGGAGTTGCAGTTGCGCCGCCAGCCCCTGCCTCTGTCTGCACGCATCCACCTGGGTCCAAATTTCTGTCTTCTCAGAAGAACACCGGCCACTGGAGTAGTGCCCGAGCTAATCCGGCGTGACCTCATCTTCACTTGATTGCTCCACCTCCAAATAAGGCCATGGCCAAGCGTTCTGGGGGCGAGCAGCTGAATGCGTCTTCCAAGGGGACAGGAGAAGCCCTGGGGCCCCAGGCCCTCTCTGGCTCCTCCTGTTCCCGCTGCTCAGAAAAAGCTGCCTTTGAAAAGGCAGGAACCGGAGAGAGGGGTAGGGGATGAGGTGTCAGTCCCCGTCTTCCTTCCCCACTGGCTGGAACGCAGGTGTGATGTCGCGAACGGAAGCAGCAACTTTGGGTTATGAGGAAGCCACCGTGTATGGGAGATGGGAGGAGACTGGATCTCCAGTAACGTTGGATCACTTCAGTCCTGGCTAGTTCCTACAGGAGACCCTGAAGTGGAAGAGAGATAAACTTTGGTCATTTAAAGCTGATTTTACAATTGCTGATTCAAATAGATATATTTATTTTTACTGGAAAGAGACAGTCATACAGAGAGAAGTAGAGGTAGAGAGATCTTCCATTCACTAGGTCACTTCCCGAATGGCTGCAATGGCTGGGCTTGGGCTGGTCTGAAGCCAGGAGCTTCTTCCAGATCTTCCTTGAAGGTGCAGAGGCCCAAGGGCTTGAGCCATCTTCCACTGCTTCCTCAGGCACTTTGTCAGGGACCTGAAATGGAAGTGGAGTAGTTGGGACTTGAACTGTCGCCTACATGGGATACAGGGCCACAAGGCAGAGGCGTAACATGCTATGCCATAGCATTGTCCCCATCTCTCTCTCTCTTAAGATTTCTTTTTTTTTTTTATATATTTATTTGTTTTTATTGCAAAGTCAGATATACAGAGAGGAGGAGAGACAGAGAGGAAGATCTTCCGTCTGATGACTCATTTTCCAAGTGGCTGCAATGGCTGGAGCTGAGCCAATCTGAAGCCAGGTGCCAGGAGCCTTTTCCAGATCGCCCACGTGGCAGCAGGTCCCAAGGCTTTGGGCCGTCCTCGACTGCTTTCCCAGGCCACAGGTAGGGAACTGCTGGGAAGCAGGGCTGCTGGGATTAGAACCGGTGCCCATATGGGATCTTGGTGGATGCAAGGCGAGGACTTTAGCCACTGAGCTACCAAGCCCTCTCTCTCTCTCTCTCTCTCTCTTTTTCAAAGATTGATTTTTTTTTTGAAAGGCAGATTTTTACAGAGAGAAGGAGAGACCGAAAGAAAGATCTTCCATCCACCGGTTCACTCCCAAGTGATCAGAGCTCAGTCCATCTGAAGCCAGGAGCCAGGAGCTTCTTCCGGGTCTCCCACGTGGGTGCAGGGTCCCAAGGCTTTGGGCTGTTCTCTGCTGCCTTCCCAGGCCACAGGCAGGGAGCTGGAAGGGGAGTGGAAGCAGCTGAGACACAAACTAGTGCCCATATGGGATCCTGGCACTTGAGAGGGCGAGGGGAGGATATAATTATTGAGCCATTGAGCCGTAGTCCTTGCTTTCTCCATTTTTTTTTTTTTGATGTATTTATCTATTTGAAAATCTGAGAGAGAGAGAATCTTCCATCTGCTGGTTGACTTCCCAGTTAGCCACATCAGCCAGAACTGGACCAGGCGGAAGCCAGGAGCCAGGAGCCAGGAGATTGTGTCAGGCCTCTTGCGTGAGGAGTAGACGTAGCTTCCAGCACTTGGTCATCCTTCACTGGTTTCCTAGGCGCATTAGCAGGGAGCCGGATTGGAAGTGGAGCAGCCGAGACTTGAGAGAGATGCATACCAGAGCGTGAGCCACACTGGCTGTGGTCACAGGTCTGCTCTCAACATTACCCGCTAACTCCCTTAAAAAAAAAAAAAAATAGAAGGTTAACTTATGGGAAGGCAGAACTACAGAGAAAGGAGTGACAGAGAGATCTTCTATCAGCTGGTTCGCTCCCCAAATGACTGCAATGGCCGGAGCTGGGCTGGTCTGAAGCCAGGAGCCTGCAGCTTCTTCTGGGTCTCCCATGTGGGTGTCGGGGCCTAAGCACTTAACCCATCCTCTTCTTTCCTAGGTTCATGAGCAGGGAGCTGGATCAGAAGTGGGGCACCAGGTTATGAAAGGGTGCCTGTGTGGGATGCTGGCACAGCACCACTTCCTCTCCCCCCTGCCCTGCTACACACCACTGCTGACCCCTTCAATCTATAACTTCATTAACCTAACCACATCCTACAGGTCTCCACCTGGTCCCACCTCTTTTTTTTTTTTTTTTAAAGATTTACTTTTTCTTATTTTTTTATTGGAAAGGCAGATATACAGAAAGGAGAGACAGAGAGGAAGATCTTCCGTCCGATGATTCACTCCCCAAATGAGCACAACGGCCGATGCTATGCCAATCCAAAGCCAGGAGCCTCTTCTGGGTCTCCCACACGGGTGCAGGGTCCCAAGACTCTGGGCCGTCCTCGACTGCTTTCCCAGGTCACAAGCAGGGAGCTGGAAGGGAAGTGGAGCTGCTGGGATAGAACCGGCGCCCATATGGGATCCTAGGGCGTTCAAGGTGAGGACTTTGGCCGCTAGGCCACGCTGCCGGGCCCATTCCTTCCTTTTTTTTAAAGAAGTTTTTTTGCAGTGATACACTCTTATTTCACTTAGCAGTTACAGACCTAGCACTCCATTTGGTAAAGATTTCAACAACTAGCAAGTAGAAAACAAGAAAAAAAAGACCACTTTTATTTTTCTAGAGTCTGAACAAAAGCTATAAATAATAATTCAAATCTCTTACTACCTTCCCAAGGGAATTCAATTTGAATGTGAGTGGCTGGTGCTGTGATGGCTCAGTTAGCTAATCCTCTGCCTGCATGCACTGGTTCTAATCCCGGCAGCTCCACTTCCCATCCAGCTCCCTGCTTGTGGCCTGGGAAGGCAGTCAGAGTACAACCCAAAGCCTTGGGACCCTGCACCCGCATGGGAGACCTGGAAGAAGCTTCTGGCTCCTGGCTTCAGTTTAGCTTAACTCTGGTTGTTGAGGCCACCCCGTGCAGTCTCCCTCACTCTGTCTCCTATGTGGCTGGTTTGCTATTTACTTAAATTAAATGTATTTATTTATTTATTTGGATTGGGTGACTTGGGGCCACACACAAAAGGCAGTGATTATGCAAAGGACCTGGGGATTGCGAGTCCCTCTTCCGCTATCCAATCTTTCAGGGGATGGAAGGGATGTTTTCCATCTGAGTGCCATGGAATGTTGCTGATTCCGTGACCTGCAGCATTGCCACCTCAGAAACTGGAAGTTCTGAGGTTCTGTTGCCAGGTCGACCAGTTGTCCAGGGCAACCCCAGTCCGATTCAGGCTGGTACAGGCTTGAATGAGGGCTGGCTTTGGAGCTGAAGCAGCAGGAGCGAGTGCGGTTCCCCCACTACCCACGTCATGCCCACCCTATCGGTGTTCACGGATGTGCCCCCAGCGCAAAAGTTAGAGGGCAGCCTGTTTAAGACGTACAAGCAGGATGACCACCCCAACAAGATGTTCCTGGCCTACAGAGGTAGCTGGAGGTCGGGACATCAGGGTCGGCTACCTGACACTCATCTTTTTCTATTGCCATTCTAGGAGCATTAGCAGGGAGCTGGATTGGAAGTGGAGCAGCTGGGGCTCGAGTTAGTGCTTGTAGGACATGCTGGCACCACAAGTGGCAGCTTAGCCAGCTGTGCCACATGACCAGCCCCTCCAGCAGAGCCGTGGAGGAGCTGGGTGGCCCTCGTCTCTGACAACAGGGGGTGGGGGTCTTTCCTGTTCCCAGCCTTGCCCAGTGGAATGACAATCTAAACCCCGATTGCTCCCTTCTGTGCCTCTCCTGGGACTTCCTCCGGTTGGCTGTCTTGGTGTTCCGCTTGGGGCGCCACCCCTTCTTTAGCCTCTTCCTCCTCTGCCTTTCCGTGTTGTCTTTGTTTAGCACCCACGGTTTTTTTAAACCCTTCTTTCTGTGAAGATTGTAATCTTTCAAATGTGAAGAGTTTCAGTTGTCTTTTATTATTATCTAGATTTATTTACTTGAGGGGGTGGGATGGGGGAGAAGACTTCCAGCCTCTGGTTCAGTTGCCAAATGGCTACAGTAGCCAGGTCTGGGCACAGGCCAAAGCCAGGAGCTCTACGAGGGTCTCTCCCATGGATGGCAGGGCCCAAGCACGTGGGCCAGTCTCTGCCACCTTCCCGGTAGATTCCTCGGGGAGCTGGATTAAAAGTGGTGCAGCCAGGACTTCCCATATGCCTTGCTGGTCACATACAGTGGTCTGAGTCACGGCATCGCAACGTCATTCCCTTTAGTTGTGACTTTGAGGACAAAAATTCATGCGCCTGCACTAACGGTGCGTTGTGCAAAGCAACACAGGGGATAAGAAAGAGGTCTTTTCATCAACAACTTGGAGCCCTTAGGAAACACAGGAATGCCTTGTTGTTTGGGGGAGCGTGCGCGCTGATGCTGACTTCAGGCCCCGGGCCTGGCACCTGCAGCTCCCTCCGTCATTCCTCTCCTTGCAGTCTGTATGACCGAAGACGGCCGGCCCTGGGTGTCCCAGGTGGTGCGCATAACGCGGCTCCAGATGGCACAGGATCCCTCACTCGACTATGAGTACCTGCCCCCCATGGGCTCCAGGTGCTTCATCCAGGCCTCCTTGGAGCTCCTCTTTGGAAAGCACAACCCAGCCCTGGTGGAGAACAGGGTGAGGACCAAGCGCCCAGACATGGGAGAAGGCAGGGGTGTTGTTCCAGGCAGAAGGGGGCTCCGGAAGTCCACAGCGTGAGCCAGCGGAGCACAGGGCTAGGCTCTGTCCCCTCACCCGGTGCCGCTGTTCGTTCACACACCCTTACGCTGCTGAATGACAGGAGGGGCGAGTGTCACTTCTGCAATTCTTTTCTTGACAGATAGGAGGTGTGCACATTATTGGTGACAGTGGTGCCTTCCAGCTGGGGGCCCAGTTCCTGAGAAACTGGCTCAAGGAGACCCAGGTCGTGTGCATAGTCTCCTCTCAGAAAGGTGAGCTCCCAAGAGCCCCAACGGTCCCTGTCGCTCGCTCCTCTCTCGCCCCCAGCCACATCCTCGCTTTGCCGAGCACCACCCTGGAGGGGCCCTGTTCCCGCAGAGCTACACGGACTGGTCTTCCAGGATATGGACTTTGTGGTCTATGAGTACTCCATCTGGGACCCCCAGCAGCTGTGCCTGAACTCCAATATGTTCCTCGATGTGCTGGAGGTAGAGGGAACCCCCTGTTGTGCCTTCTCCCCAGCCTCCACTCCTGGGGACATCCAAGACCTTCCCCCGCTTGGGGATTAGGGTTACCCAGCCCTTGAGTTAGGGCCCTGGTGCCACCATCACCACGTGGGCGGGGAAAGGAGCCGACCAGAGGCCCTGCACCTGCAGCAGATCCCACGTGGCTGCATCCTGGTGATTGGCAACATCATCGACTGTAAGCTGACACCCAGCCAGTGGAGCAAGGTGGTGTCGCTCATGAAGGTGAGCTCAGGGGGGCTCCCCCACCTGAGCCCCTCCGGCTTCCGTCCCTCTGTGCTTCTGCGATTCTCCTTCCGCTCTCCACAGAGCAAGCGCGTCTTCCTCTTCCTGGACATTCCCTGCCAAGGTTTCTACACAGGAGACCTGGAGCAAGACGTTCGGATCTTGCGGTACTTCGTGTCTCGAGGTTTTGAGTTTTTCTGCAGCCAGTCGCTGTCCAAGAATTTCGGCATTTACGGTACGGTATGGGCAGCGGGGAGAGGGCCTGGCATGGAAAGGCTCCATGCAGTGCTTGGGACATTTCCCATCCATCACCAGAGTCCGAAGGAGACCCAGGGGAGCAGTCCTGAGCTAACTACACTCTTGGCGAGGTTATCTTGGGTTTACTCACCTTTAAAGATGACAGGGCGAAGACTCAGTGGCTTCCACCTGCCAGCAACTCTCATTTCCAGCAGCTAACGGGGGTGGGGTTGGTGGGGCTGAGGATCTGACCCCTCCCTGGCTCTGAGGTTGGGAGGGAGGAAGCTGGACAGGTGAGGAGGGCTGTGGGCACCGAGCAAGAGGCTGAGGCTGGTGTCTCTCCCTGCTCCCTGCTCATTGGTGCTGCAGATGAAGGCGTAGGGATCCTGGCCGTGGTGGCTCTCAACAACCAGCGTATGCTCCGCACCCTCTCCCAGCTGACCAGCTACGCCCAGGCCCTGTGGCTCAACCCCCCAGCCACGGGAGCGCGCATCATCACCTCCATCCTCTGCAACCCTTTTCTTCGTGAGGGATGGTGAGGAAGGGTAACTTGGGGCATGAGGGAACAGACAGGGCCCCGGTCTGACAGTAGACACGCTGGTGTCACAAGACCAGCAGGGTGCTCCCCATCCTGTCCTCCTCCATTCATTCATCAACGTGTATGGAGGGTCTACTGCATGCTAGTGCCAAGGCTAGCCATGAGGCCCAGAGTGGTCCTGCCTTGGCTGGGGTGGCAGGGGTGAGGGGTGGGGAGGAGGGGGTGGAAGGGGCAGGGGCAAGTAACACGCGCTGCTTGGGAAGCCCACTTGGCTTGTTTAAAATCAATATGGGGGCCCTGGTGCTGTGGCCTAGCAGCTACAGTCCTCGCCTTGAACGCACCGGGATCCCATATGGGCGCCAGTTCGAATCCTGGCAGCTCCACTTCCCGTGCGGCTCCCTGCTTGTGGCCTGGGAAAGCAGTCGAGAACGGTTTTGGGACCCTGCACCCGTGTGGGAGACCTGGAAGAGCTCTGGGATCCTGACTTCGGGTCGGCACAGCACTGACCATTGTGGCCACTTGGGGAGTGAATCATCGGACAGAAGATCATCCTCTCTGTCTCTCCTCTTCTCTGTACATCTGACTTTGTAGTGAAAATGTAAAACAAATAAATCTTTTAAAAAATCGAATCAAATCAATATGGTATCAAATTCCCTCCCAGGCAGGCTGTTGCTAACCTACCGCCTACCATGCGGCACTGCCAGGAGTGCTGGTTCAAGCACTGGCTGCTCCACTTCCCATCTAGCTCCTTGCTAATGCACCTTGTAAAGCAGTGGACAATGGCCCCAAGTGCTTAAGTCCCTGCCGCTCATGTGGGAGATCCAGATGCAGTTCCTGGATCCTAACTTGGGTCTGCTCCAGCTGTTATGACCATTAGGAGAGAACTGGCAAAGAAGATCTCTTTCTTTCTCTCCTTCTCTTTCTGTAAAAATCTGCCTTACAAATAAGTCCTTTTTTTTTTTTACCTTTGCAACTATATTTGGATTTAATTATTATTTTTATTTGAGAGGCAGGATTTTCCATCTGCTGATTCACTCTCCGAATGGCAGTCACTGGGCTGATCTAAATCCAGGAGACAAAACTTCTTTTGGGTCTCCCATGTGGGTGCAGGGGTCCAAGGCCCTGGGCCATCCTCTGCCGCTTTTCCTGGTCATAAGCAGGGGGCTGGGTAGGAAGTGGAGCAGCCAGGTTGCGAACTGGTAAACATATAGAATGCCGGCACCACAGGGTGGAATATTAGCCTGATGTGTCACCATGCCACTCTCCAACGAAGATCAGCGGAAACTATATCACATGGGTTTTGTTGTTTTCTGTTGGTTTCATCTCTTCAAAACACTTTCTTCTGATTAAATCATTCAATGACTCGTAAAAAAAAAAAAAAGAAAGAAATCTTTAAAACATTAAAACCTCACTGGGAACCCTTACTCTCTGGCTGTGCTCTCGGGGGTCCCCTGCTGGAGGCTGGAAGGGCAGCGAGGAGGTGGGGAAGACCTGACAGCTTGCTTCCTCCTGGGCAGGAGGCAGAGCCTGGAACGGACCTTGGGGAGCATCATGCTGATCAAGCAGAAGGTGAAGGAGAAGCTGCGGCTGCTGGGAACCCCAGGCTCCTGGGACCACATCACCCAGCAGACCGGGACCCACGGCTACCTGGGACTGACCTGTGAGTGCTCAGGGCAACCTGGCTCCCTGCTTCTCACGGGCGGGCCTCTTTTGAGTCTTCACTATCCTCACCCACTGGGAGAGCAGAACCTCCAGGGTTTGAGTCCCACCCCACCCCCCATTGAACCTCTGGTGGAAAGTGGGAACTGCCTGGAAGGCTCTTGAGGAACCCCCTAACGTGCTGATAACGCCCCTGAGCTCTCATCACTGTGCCGGGGCTGGAGGGGGCACCCCAGGACCTGAGCTGACCTGAGCTGTGATGGTCACAGCCCAGCAGGTGGAGTACCTGGTCAAGAAGAAGCACATCTACATCCCCAAGAACACCAGGATCAACTTCACCTGCATCAATGCGAAAAACATCGGTTACATCACGGAGAGCATCCACGAGGCTGTCCTCCTCACCGGCAGGACGGAGAACGTTCCCAAAGACAAAGGCCAGTGAGCTCAATAAAGGGCATCAGCCGCTGCTGCCATTCCTTATGCTGCCAAACACCCTCTGTGTCAACTCACAAAGCTGTCGTCCAGCCCCAGGGGACAGAGACAGGCAGAGGAAGAAGAGAGTGGCCATCTCCCTTGGGGGTACATCAGCAAGTTCATGGAGAGGGCAGCACTGTGGTGTAGTAAGTTAAGCCTCCACTTGCAGCACCAGCATCCCATATGGTTGCTGGTTCAAATCCCAGATGCTCTACTTCTGATCCAGCCTCCCTGCTAATGCTCCTGGGAAAGCAGTAGAAGATGGCCCAACAGGGCTGCTGTACTCTTTGGCCGGCATGTGGACTGGGTCTGGGGGCAGGCCGGGCTGGGCTGGCTCATGCAAGAGTCAGAATGGGTGCAGGTTGATTGGATTAGGCCACAGTACCCATTGAAAAGTACCAGAATTGGGTGTGAATTTATGTCAGGCCAGACTGCAGTACTCCCTGGCAGGTACAAGACCAAGGGTTGGGAGTAGGCCTGGTAGGGAAACTGTGGGAACTTCTCTACTAGGCTGCAGCTTCTGCTGGTGAGTGTGAGAGCCAGGGCTGGGTGTGGACCTGGGCGGACAAGCTGGTAGTACCTGTTGACATCCATGTGGGCTGGGTCTGAGGGTGGGATCAGGCTGAGCTAAACCACAACAACCATGGGTGCTGGTGGGCCTGGTGGTGGTTACTGGGGATTGCCTTGACTAGGCTGCAGTTTCTGCTGGTGTGTAAAACGGGTCTATGGTGAGGCAGGGTGGGCTAAGCCTGAAGCACCCATTGGTTTGCGTGGGAGATGGGGTTGGGGCAAAACTGACCAGGCAGCTGCATTCATTGGTATGTTGTGTGGGTTGTTTCCAGTGATGGACTGAACTGGACCTTGCGCTGACTAGTGCATATAAGATCAAGTGTGGGGTTACCCCAGGTGAGGTTATTTTGTGGGATTTCCCCAATGAGATGTCTGGCCTCAAACACCGGCCACAGGGAAAATCACAATCTATGTCGTCTGACTTTAGATTGCACGTATCAGGGCTAGGCCTCCGCAGCTGCTGATGCGCAGGCAGTGGACAGCATGCCCAGATGCACACAGGGGACATGACAGCCAGCTCATCTAGACCAGCAGAGGAGTACTTCATCAAAGGATGGAAAGCAGAACAGGTTGGATGACTCTCCTGGTCCAGTTTTTCAGCAAGTTCCTGGGTCTGTGGATGCACTAAAGGTGAACTTTATCAACTAATACATCTTGGAAATAGTTTCTCAAGCCTGGAGCAACAAAGCTGACAATGTTTTAGAACTATCAAAACCACTCAAGTAACACCCGGAACATGTTTCCCCACATTGAGGTCTCTAAGATGACATCAAATGACCGTCCTCCATCCTCAGGTGCCGATGTAGTTTGGCAGCAACGAGTGGCCCCTTCTCTTCCCCTCCAGTATGCAGATACAGGAGAAAAATTAGAAATATTTATCCCAGCCACCTTCCTCTATATCTCGACCCTCCCCACTCTAATCAGAGGCCCACATGGGCTATACAGTCTTCTCAGCTATGGAAAGACCCCAGTGCTTGGGGTCCCTGCATCCCTGTGGGAGGTATAGATGAAGCCGCTGGAGCTTGCCTGCAGCCTGGCCCAGTCCCAGCTGTTGTAGTCATTTGGTCAGTAAGATCTCTCTCTCTGTAACTCTTTCAAATAGAAGAGTTCATGGAAAGAAGGAATGAAGAGAGATGTTTACTCTCATTGCCAAAGGAAACCCAGGTGTTGGGGTCCGTGCAGTAGATGTGGGGGACACGAGGGGGTGAAGAGTGTTCCATGGCAGGCAGGGCCGCAAGGAATTTCCCGCTGTTTGGCAGGGTCCGCCCAGCGGATGTCTCTACAACCACCTGAATGCAGCTCCACCTTCTTTTGCATGGACACCGGACCACCCTGCGGAAGAATTCTAATCCATCCTGGCATTTGCTACGAGGTTAACCTTTCGCTCAGCCTGAGCTTGGAGGTCAATATCTTGCAAAAAGGGCCCTTTATCATTCCTACTGTCTTGACTGTCCCCATTGAACCTATGCTAATCAAGGGACCTGTATTTAGGCTTTCATTCTTTCCTTGATCTTTAAGTTCTCCTTTTCTTTGTGATACAAGATTGAATGGTAGGATAAGAATCCTAGCAGGAACTTCTAGGTACTGGCAGCAGGAACTTCTAAGTAATACGATGGCAGAGTTATCTTTAGAAACACCCACTTGACTGTGACGTAAAAAGTCTGAGCCAGAATTTGACTGATTTTGTATAAATAAAGCAGACAGCTTTTGTGCATCGTCCATTATGATCATGAAGTCCTAGTGGTCCGTCTCTTTCTTTCCTCTTTACGCCTCATCCACACACCCTTCGCGAGTTCCGAACTCAGCTGGAGCTGGACTCCGGCACCCAGGCAAAGTCGCTGCTTTACCTGTTTCCATCAATCTCTTGGAAATTCCTTGTAACTGTGGAGCACCTGCTATGGGGAGGCCCCAAGCTTGCCATCCAGCCCTCTCGCTCCCGGAGCTGACAGCCAAGGGGCAGCGGTTAAGCGACACTTAAAGGGTAGATGTGACATGTCACTGCAGGTTGCGTGATATGAACGTGACTGTAATTTAGGGAAGAAGATCCTCGATGCAGACCAGAACTGCCAGGGAGGAGGAGTTTAGGAGGAGGTGGGACCTGATTGGGATACTGATGGCTGACTAGACTTGGGTTAACAGCTGGAAGAGACATAGAACATGGAAGATCAGCAAACAACCTGAAAATACATTCTTGTGACAATAAAACGCGAGTAGTCGGGCCCGGCGGTGTGGCCTAGTGGCTAGGCTGCAGATCAGAAGCCAGGAGCCTCTTCCGGGTCTCCCACACGGGTTCAGGGCTGTCCTTCACTGCTTTCCCAGGCCACAGGCAGGGAGCTGGATGGGAAGCAGGGCTGCTGGGATTAGAACCGGCACCCATATGGGATACTGGCCCGTTCAAGGCGAGGACTCTAGCCACTAGGCCATGGCGCCAGGCCTCTGAAATTCCTTTTTTTTTTTTTTAAAGTAGTTCACGGGCCCGGCGTGGTGGTGCAAGTGGTTAAGGTCCTCGCCTTGAACGCCCGGGATCCCATATGGGCGCCAGTTCTATCCCGGCAGCCCCGCTTCCCTTCCAGCTCCCTGCCTGTGGCCCAGGAAAGCAGTCGAGGATGGCCCAAAGCTTTGGGACCCCGCACCCGTGTGGGAGACCCGGAAGAGGTTCCTGGCTTCAGATCGGCATAGCATCGGCCGTTGTGCTCACTTGGGGAGTGAATCATCGGACGGAAGATTTTCCTCTCTGTCTCTCCTCCTCTCTGTATATCTGCCTTTCCAATAAAAAAAAAATAATAATAAAAATAAATATTTAAAAAAAATAAATATTTAAAAAAAAGTAGTTCATCCTTGGCCTTGAAAATGGTCCGAGACGAAAACGGGCACAGCACCTGGTGGACTGAATGTTACCGAACCATAGCTCGTTGGATTAGAAACATACTGCTGGGTGGATTTCACGGCCATTGCTGGGCCAGTCCCTGGGCCGTTTAGCTCCTCGACAGGTTGTGGTTTTGAGGTCTGTTTTATTGTGGTAAGCCGAAGATGGAGGTCTGGTAGACCATGCTGGTGGCGTATTTACCTCAAGTCATGGGACTTGTATGGGGTTTGGTTGGGGAGGAGATGGGAGGTGCGGGCAGGGGCCAGGGAGGGGAGCACCCGGGGTTGGTGGCCAGTAGGTGTGTCCTGTCCACCCTTACTGTTTTCTAAGCACCACACAGGTGTACCCTGTTAGGCCCCTGCTGGGTGCGAACGGCAGGTGGTGCTGTTTCACAAACTTAGGGACCAAGAAGAAGCAACCTGACCCAGCGTGGGAAGTTGGTGCCTGCACCTGCTACATCTCTCTAGTGTTCTCTCTCTTCTCCCATCACCCCCTCTCTCCAGATCACAGGAGGGTCTGGGAGAGGGGCATCGTTGTCCTCTTAAGTCCTTAGAGCTTGGGCTGGAGGGGCAGGACTGGGATCCACTCCCTCCTGTGTACTTCCACGTGTGTCCCAAATGTCTGGAATGTGGCTGTGGTGACATCCTGGGTGGTGGCCAGCCGTTGTAGGAGGCATGAAGTGACTGGGAAGCATCCTTGCACAATTTCCATTGCCAGGCTGTCTCTCTTTTGCCCAGCTCATGGTGGCTGCCAAGGCTTGACCAACCTGCCCTCATTTCTGAGGTTGCCTTTTTCCTTTGTAAACTCAAGCTGCTCTGAGGAGTCCAAGGAACACAGGTTAAATATGCGAAAAATATCTCCCTTACTTATATATTTTTAAAATCGCAGCTCTTGTCCAGTGAACTTGAGTGTTAGAAAGCCAAAATGGGGCACTGGTTCGGCTCCTAGCTGCTCCAGTTCTGATCCAGCTCTTTGATGACATGCCTCGGAAAGCAGTGGAAGATGCCCCAAGTGCTTGGGACCCAGCATGCCGTGTCTGAGCACCGGTTCGAGTCCTGGCAGTTCCACATGTGATCCAGCTCCCTGCTAATGTACCTGGGAAGGCAGCAGAAAATTCTCCAAGTGTTTGGAACCCTGCATTCATTGAAGACCTGGAGGAGGGCCCTGGCCTGACCCAGCCACAGCCAGTGCAGCCATTTTAGGGATTAAACGTGTGGACTGAAGATCTCCATGTGTGCCTGCGTGTGTGTGCGCTCACGTGTGCGTGTATGGCCTACCTTTCAAATAAATAAGTAAAATTATCATAAAAAATAGAAAAAAACCCAAATAGGAAGTGGTTGGTATAACATTATGCTAGGAATGTGGTCTCTGGTTCACTCATGACAGGTGCCTCTCTGTGGGGTGACCCACCCTCATAGGACAATGTGTGTTCTCTCTCAAATCAGTCCTGTCCTCACGTGGGCACTGCGTTTGTTTAAATGTCTGCTTTGCATTCCGATCTCCATGGGAGCAAGAATTTGGAGAAAACTTAGGATACTGAGTCTGAGACACAGATCATCCAACTTATTT